TTTCCATCTTCTGAGAAACAGACAGATCATCACTGAATGCTCATTTTTAGCTTATTAGGCGTTATCAGCCAACCCTTTGCAAATTCCAGGTTTTGCAACCCCCGTGGCTCGAATTCGAGACCTGTTAGTTAGAAGTCCAACGCCCTAACTGTTAACAGCCAAGGGCTCATTGTCTTGGTGGTTGCGATGGGATACATGAACAGTGATAGTTCAGGACTCATCGATGGTTATGGCTGGCTGGTGGCGGCTAAAAAGCCATAGATACAGTTCCACCCTCCGCCGTCTTTGTAGAAATGCATTACTGCCAATAATAAACTACTCACTAAAACAGCTGCAGACAGAGCTCGAGCCCGAACACACAACAGAACGAGCATGTACCGCGACGTGATCGAGGAGCACCGTAATACCCCACTTGGATTTCGTAATTTCCATGGGCAAACCGACCTCAAATCACGATACGACACGTTCTGTAGTCCACCTTAACTCGATGCAAACAGGGTTAGTATGCTGGGTTCAGTTGGTGCCGTTCAGCCGACCTGGCGAGAATTCGAGACCGTCAGGATCCAGTCAATCACGTGATTAGGCAAAATGGACACCGTGGTGCGACCTCGTGGGTCGACAGATCGAACATCGACTGGTCCGGTGAGAATGGTATGCACAGTATCCACTTACCGCACGGATGATTTGGCAGTGTTTGGGGCTTGCGCAGTAGAAGTCGCAACCGCGGTCCAGGAAGTTTTGTTTATCTCTAGGAGCAGGAGTCGTTATTTTGGCGCTTAGTTCAAAATGGCCGTACAAGCAGGTATAGGGGGATGGGGGAAGGTTGGAAATGTGTCAATCACCGCGGCACCACTGGATGCAGTTGACAGTTCTTTCAGCGATCTGGCGGCGTCCAGACGGATGGTCCCAAGTTAAACAAAGAAACTGCCTCCCGCCTTCCTCTTCCCTACTTACGATCGAGCAGTCACAAGTCACTGCGATGGCGGTTTTGAACCATTTGTCACCGTCGGTAAGGCCTACTTCAACCATAAGCCAAAAGAACCAGAGACACGAAGCCGCACCTGGGGGGTTTGTTAACCGGCTTCTCACCCACTGAAAGGAAGACTTGACTGTGCGAAGACTGGAGAAGTAGACATATGTATTTTACTCACGGTAAAATATAGTATGTAAGAACGGAAAGTCTGACGAACATCCCTGAATCAGAGAGCATAGAAAACAGAAGAGTGCTGGAGAGCACTTGGAGCAACTGGTAGGGTTCATCTACCATTCTGTGCAGTTTCAGGCACAATCACACACGCACACTACTCGGAAGGACAGTAAGTACTGGTTCCACAGAAGGCGGACACCACAATGGGAAGACAGAATTTAAAAAAACAATACCAGGACTCAGTAGTCGTAGTACTAGCAGTACGAAAAGCAAAATAAAATGGTCGATAAAGCGTAGACATTGCGGTATTTATGTATTCTCCCTTTTTCCTAGATGTCAAAACTGTTGCGTAAGAGTGGACGGGGGAAACCAGGACAAACATCTGCCAACCAGGACGATGGCAAGCGACGGTAATAAAGCTGGATTTCTTGTGGGGGGAAGAGATAATATTGTTTGAGCCGACGCGTAGAATGGAAGCAAGCAGAGGTTAATACAAGGGATTGGCGCTATCCGGCCGAGATAGGTGTGTTGTGTATGGAGTTACAGTTTGTAGGCATTCCGCATCATCAAGTCAAAGTAGATATCGTCGTCCACGGAGGCACTGATGCCACTGTAGTAGTTGAGAAACTCGTCCCAAGTCACCTATAAGAGTGAAGGAAGAGAAATGAGACTTCATGGTGTGGTTACGTGAAAACGATCACACATAAACATATACGGGTGCGTAAATGCAAAAAACGAACAGACAAAGACGACAAAAACGAAACAAATTTTGAGGCTCAAGCTGCCATTCGTCCAGGTATGCGGGGGATAGGTGGCGATGAGGAATGCTGCGTGTGTCCGGAAACGCTGCGCAGACAAGTTACCAGATAACCCTAACGCCATGACGGCATTGGCTCCAGGCAAAGATATACTGGGCCACGTTGGAATGGCGTTCGCCGAGTCGGTCAGATGGCAGAGGTTAGAACTATGGTAGACGGTCGTCTGGGGACAGAAAATCGA